CGTCGTCGTGATGCTCTTCCTCAGTCCCCCGTCTGCGTGGCTCTGCACGCCAAGTTGATACATCTCTGTTGAAGACCAGAAGTCAACTAGGGGCTGCCAAGCGGGCTAAGAGGTCGGTTTAGATGGTGCCAAAATCCCATGGTGAGTTGTGCTACTACTCTTCCAGTGTCGCATTTGATTGATAGGGGACTAGATGTCGGGCCCTTTGGACGATATACATACCCTGGATATTTACTTCCACTTCACCTACTTTTGCCAATCGCGGCTTCACTCCACATCCCTGGATGCCTTCCTTTTATTACGCGGATTTTTTAACCTACCTGTCCAATTTTTAATCCTTGATCTGGGAGTTCTTCGCCCTTAGAATACCTTGACTGTACAATTCATTCCTGTTATAGTATAATGTCGTTTGTACTTACATTACTCGTTGGCTAAAGAGTCTGTAGTACTTAGACGCGAAGCGCGTATGTAATGAGTGGTCTTACACTCTTTTGCCAGTGAGTGGTGCGGTCGCTCAAGTTGATGAGGACCTCAGACCCCTTCGGGCGCAGCACCTGGCTGTCATGCACTCGCTCCTTGTTATACAAACCACTTTCAGTTTCAATATCCATGCACTCGTTTTTTCTCACTCCTTCTCTTGTGCGCGCGAATCCGATCTCACTGGACGGACGAGACGGAAGATTGGGATGAGAAAACCTAGTAAACGGGACTGAGGCGTTTCGTAGGTAAGGTTTTTGTTTGCTGAAATATTTCGAATGACTTATGTATACCTCACAGAGGAATCTTCATATCAAATGGGTTTTCACTCTGAATTCGACGATAACTTTTTTAACGTCATTGTCATCTTATGGGTTTATTTCGTTCCAGACTAATAGTTAAACATAAGTTTGAATCCAGAACGTTTTGAACAGTGTCAGCCACACCTTTGGATATAAAAAGCCGTTCAACGCCAGACGCGAATACGCCTTGGTCATCAAACACTCGCCCAACATAGTTCGCCATACGCAATGCCCCTCCGGCCTCTGGGCATCAGCCTCAGGATCCTTACACTCGTTTTTCTCGTCGTTCCTACCCTCGTGCGTGCGAACCTAATCTCTGTCGACCTTCGAGGCAACACGGACCACGACCTGAACCTTCAAGACATCGCTGACCTCGTGGGCTTTGGCGTTAACGTCGATGATGGTGGCGTTTCCTTAACGCTGGACTTCCCGAGTGATGACGTAGGACCACCAGAGCCAGCGGCAAGCAAAGTCGTCGTCCGCACCATGTATTCCTGCCCACCGAAAGATAAGCACGGAAACACTCTCGGCTTCCACTCCCAGTCTAGCAGTCCGATGCGATGCATGTACAAAAGCCAGGATAGGGACAGAGGGTCGTATTGCCTGTATGACAAACTCACAGTTTCCATCAAACTAGCAGTTTCCGTCAAACTAGCAGTTTCCATCAAACTAACAGCATGGGGATAAACCCTCTTCGCATCCTTCGCCATATTCGTAATCGCATGAGGAACCTGGAAGCCCACCCAAAGCAAATTCCTGGCCTCCTTAAAGAGTGGAATAATCTGCGGACCGAAATTGACCGCCAACTGGAACCCTCCTCGGCCCAAACGGACAATCTTGAATAAACGCCCGCCAACGCCCATGTCCCGACGGTTGATGTCGTGCAGCCATGTATCGAATACGTCCAGTTTTTTGCGGAACGCTGAGGATTTGGATTGGAGTTTTTGACCTTATGCATAGCCTTTACTGAGGACGTCTTTGACGTGTTTCATGTATGTGAGGAGTTGTCGTTCGATTTGGGGCGGGCCCAGATGAAGGTCACGCAGTTGAGCCATGTGGTAGGCTTCAGAGAAGCGGTACTGGGTTTTGAACTGGTGGTCAAGGAAGTCAGTCAGTGGTTGGATGGGAAAAGAGGGAGGAGGGTACCTCGTCGTGCAAGTGCTAAATGTCCTCCTTCACCGAGTCAGTAAGTTGAGTCTGGTACTCCTGTATCACACCGCAAATCTACACGAGTATCGTTCAGCAAGAAGGATCACAATTGGCAAAGAAAGCACGTACCTTGGCCTAACGAAAAGTGCATTAAACTTTGAGAAATCCCTAAACATCTCGTTCGCATTGCGCGCCGTGCCAAGTCTATCCCTGAGCCTTGCAATAATCTGGTTCTCGACCTGAGACACACGGTCGTTGTACACATTTTCAGCTGTTACCCATACCTCGGTGCCCTCTGCCGTAAAGTACTCACATCAGCACCTAAAAAAAGAGAGGGAAAAAAGAAAGGGACTAACCAACTCCCTCGCAACGTTCGTGAACTCTTTAATGAGATCATCCCACATCCTGTATCCCCGTCGTCTCGCGAGGAGACGTTCAAAGGTGGGATAGGGTGTGTATGCTAGCCGGTGGGTTGTTATGGTCTGGAGGAGAACGTCGTTAAAATCTCGTAAGATTGCTTCGACGAGTGGAAGAGCTCGACAGATTGGGTAGGGAGATAGCTTGAGTTTTCTGTTTAGATGGGAGAAGATGGGCGTGAGTGATTCGTGCACTTTGTCGAGGTCTGCGGAGGAGAGAAGGTCGTTGAGCGGAAAGTCTTCCATTAGTTGGCTGTACTTGTGCACTGTCCACATCGTTAGCCTTGAGTACAATGAGAGAGGGAGAGACACACCGAGATCTGTAGCATCCTTTAGCCCGGTATCAGCAATAAAACTAACAGTGGCACGGAACTTCTTTGCATTCCTCAGTGCATCCATGACCATCCCCACCTCCTCGCTCCTCAGCTGCGCCTCTATCCCCTCCAATGCCCTTTCGAGGCTCATGATCAACCAGAAGTTGATCTCTTGGGATGCCGTGCCGGAGGAAACGTCTCTTGTGAGCTTGGTCACCGCTTGGATGGCTTTGATCCATGTGTTGACGTGCGAGTGGAGAGAGTTGAGGAATGTGCTGTCGGTGGGGAGCTTCGATGAATGTGGGAGATGTTGGGTTGTTGACCTTGAGATTGGGCCTTTATTCAACTCAGGTAAGTGCAACAAACGCAACTCGAGCTCTGCAAAGTTTTTCTTCGTCATTGGTATACCCAACTTGCTTCTCCATCTCCACCCCCACCTCCTGCGTCTTTCCCTGCCCCTGCCCTGGTCCCTACAAACGCGTCGAACCATGGCTTAACTCCGCAGCTTATCACGGCGTGTAAAGACTCGTACAGCGTCTCGTCACCGCCAAAGAGATTATGAAAGTGAAGCTGGGCAAAGAGCGGTACAAGTGGGTCGAAATGTGTTGTTCGTTTTATGAGCGCAAGTGTTGTGACGTGTGTTGGGTGGTAAGTGAGATGTGGGATGAGGTGGTACGTGTATGTCAGTGTTCCTCCGTCATCTGCGTGGTTTCTCCGTAAACATCTATTTATGCGAAGGTATGAATAAAACGACAAACCTTCTACCTCGTCCTTCACTTTAACGATATCCACCACTCCCCCAGACTCAGCTGCAAACCTAGCAACACACTCATCAAACTCGTCATCGAACAGTGAGTCCAACTCGTATGGCAAAGCACCAATGACGGGTGGTAAGAGGGCGAGAAAATACCTCCAGAAAATGTCTGTATCGAAAGAGAGCGGTTATGTTTGTGATTCTGATTGGGGTGGGTCGTGATTATGCCCGTTCGTAGCGGTTACTGTGGTGTCCATGTCCGTATTTTCGTAAGCGGAACCTTCGAAAGGAGGGGGTGATGTGAATTTCGCTTTTGATGTTCTCCACAGCGAAAACAGAGATTGCGAAAGCGAAAGATACCGTCTAGGTATCGTCCTCCTACGACTCGTGAAATAGTGCTGTACGCCCGTATCAGTCGTCATCGTCTCTTACGAACTATAATCTAAACACGCACATTATTGTATCAATCCCTTGCTCTGAGACTTCCACAAGGAGTACACGTTTTGGTATCCTCGTGAGCTGTCACCAAAACGCGTCGTTTCGACCCAAAAAAAGTATGGTCGCGGTTAAGAGACCTTTGTATCACTCTCAACCCTCCTTAGAGACGTGATTGGGGGAGAATTGAGGGCAAATTTCTGGAGATGAAAGAGATTTGGACGTCGGCATTGGTGGCTGCTGAGACGTGTGACAGATCCGTAATTGTCAAACCAGAGCAAATCTCCTCCTCTGAGTCTCTATTTATCTGCGCATTCAACGTTCAACGGTAAATCCAACTTGTCAGTGGTTGCTGTAGTTTCCATGTCTGTATTTGCAAAAGTGGTGATGGTGGTACATAAGAGGAAAGGATGAGCGAGCAAAATAAATCAAGGTAGACTCAAGAGTCGACATGCACATACAATGCACATATTCGAGCAATATTCGAATTCCCTCCCCTCCTGATTCCCCTCCGTCGCCCTCAAAATACTTCCAACATCCCTAGCCTGCGTGTGCACATTACACATTACAGCTCACATACACGACCATCCTCGGGGGTATCAAAGTGAGGAGTTAGTGTGAGGGGTCGATACTAAGGCATTCCCCTCTCTCGTTATATTTCCTATTCAACGATGTTTGTATCCTTCTCTAGCGCAATTCCTCTTCTACAATCTTCAGAGTCACGCAATCACGCTTAGTCATGTTTAGTCACGTTTAGTATAACTACCTTGTAAACAGAAAAGAATATTACTTCTTCTTACACCATATTCTTTTCCTATCTTGTTGCACGAGCATCGTACTCAGGACTCGCCTCAAGCCTGTTGAAGATTCGCGTTCGAAGAGATCAAGGTCAGTTCCTATAGAACTAACTTTAGGAGCTCGTGTCTCCTGTGAAAGCTAACGAAGCTTTCTTGTATTTTCCCATTTCTCCGAAGGGACTTGTTCACTCCCTTCTGCGGCTTTCCGAGAAGGTTGAGACATTCGCGCTTGTGGTTATCCAGGGCATAAGCGGACTCTCGCGTGATCAGGCTTCTTCTTTCTCTCTAGATTCAGACCTGCATTTAGGGTCATCACACCATTACTCAACCCTTACGTTCGACGTTCGCCAGACTTACTCGCCGTTGGTAAGAATCCCACTCAGCGACTAAATCCCCTTAGAACAGGGTTGCGCAGTTAGTTTGGTACGTTAGGCGTACTGCAGGGGCAAGGGTATCATAGATAGCATTCGCGGCATCGACGGCTCAGGAATTTCTGTTCTGAGCATTAGTACCAAATGATGAGAGCTGTAGAGAGATTATTTACTAAAGTAGTTTTGGTATGCCTTAGCGACGACGTCGCGCTTTAGATCTAGCCGGGTGTCGTATGATAGCATCTAATCCGTCCGAAAAGGTAAGTGTCAATTTTTCTGCGCACGTCACGGAAACCCACGCGCAAAAAGTACTCTGGAGTCGTCTCTGCGCTCAGCATTTGGTGTGATGACCTCTAGCAAGTCGTCATATGAATGCAGGCGGCCTTGACGGTAGGTATGCACACAAATCTTTTCACCGGGTAGAGCGAAGGGCACAACAATCGCCCAAGGATGTCTTCCCTCCCGGGACATAACTATTCCCTCCCCTATATCAAGGTATCAGATTGGCTCAAACACAACAGGTTGCTCGCTGACCGTTAAAAGATATCGTCTTCACCTCCACCAGCTCGTCGAAGTTCCGACTCCGTAAAAAGATGGCTGACAAAGATAATTGGCCGTCTATCTGAGAAAGGAAAACCGTGGAAATGCTAGGGCGTAGTGGGCGTCTGCATGAGGACTCCGGGCTGTAGGAGAGGCGAGATAGGGCCGAGGTTGGGTTAGGTCAGGGAAAGTCGAATAAGCGTGGGGATGGGGGTAGAGGATAGTTCTGAGTACTTCGCAGAAATCTTTTGTGAGTGCACGATTTTGATCAGGATTCTTGCTCATCCATTCGTTTCGTTTCAAATTACGGCTTGGACAAGACTCCCTTTTGGTCGCTGGAGGGTTGACATCGAGCTATGGTTGTTGTTTCCATCAGAGAAGTGGGATGCTATACAAACTGTCGAATGCGAGTTCGAGAGTTGTAGCAGCGAGGAAATAGAAAGTTTTACGGCGAGAGTTTTCGGAGGAGATGTTGACGGACGAACTGGCTGTTCCCTGAGAATTGTGAATCCATACTTCAAACGCAAAGGGGCCCCGCTCATGTTGAACTTCACCCTACAACGCTCGCCGCAGCCAAGAGGTGCAGATTAAGAGCCATTTTAAGTCAGCCGGCGGAAAAGTGCAATCTCGCAGGCTGGTTGCAAGCATTGGCCTGGGTGCATTTATTACTCACCACGAGCCTATCCTAGCTCGTAAACGCAAAACGCCAGCTGTCCGTAGCGTATCTGTTCGTTGCCCACTATCCCGCCCCCTTCCGGCGGCGTTCACGCGTTGGTTTTGAAAGTCTTCGTGTCGCATTATCGTTACCTTGCTCGCCCTTCTGTCTGTCGGTCGGGTTTTTTTGTAGGTAGTGGAACGAAATTTGAAGCAGGCTTTGTTAGCTGAAAATTTGCATAAGAGAGAATGTGGTCCTCACGTTGGGTGAAACTGCGGATCTCCTTGCTGGGCGCGTTCCCGTGTCCATTTTGAATGTTGAACGTTGAACGCTGAGCTTTGGTTGCTGTTGTATGCTGCGACGAGGTCGTAGATGGAAGCAAGTGCCGACGTCCAGCGAATGTAGCCTTATCAAGCAGGTGTTTAATTAGATCCGAGAATACTGCTATATTGGGAAGTTTCTTCACCTCGTGTCACATATCTTCCACATATTCTCTGTGCAGATATGGATTGCCTTTAGTAGAAATATCTTCTTCCAATATCTTCGAAGTTTATCCACCCACGTAATTCTTAATAATTCCGATGAAAAAAAATTGATAAAATGAAATAAAAGATTTTAAATATCTTTCAACTAATTCCGGTAGTTAAAAGGTAGCATTATTATTAATATCTACCCCATTTTTTCACATTATTCCCAGTGGATATATAAGCCAGGGCCCGCAGTGAAAGCTAAAAGAAAGGGCTACAATTATTGTATCGTGGGAAAAATGACCAAAAAAGGAAGGTTCGTGCCCTACTATAAGAGTCAGATATAGACTACCAAGTTTACTGATAGACTACAAAAAAGTCGGACTTAGACTACACAGTTTACTGATAGACCATAAAAGACTACAAAAGTTGAACTTAGACTACAAAGTTTACTAATACACTACAAAAGACTACCAAGTTTACTGATAGACTATAAAAGACTACAAAAGTCGGACTTGGACTACAAAAGCTTGGACTTAGACTACAAAGTTAGGGTTAGGGTCAAAAGGTTATCCTGACTACAAAGTTTGTAGTGTCCGCTTTTTGAGACTACAAAAGTTTGTAGTGTCCGCTTTTTCATTAGAAAGTTTGTAGTGTGCGCTTTTTGAGACTACAAAGTTTGTGGTGTGCACTTCCGCTTTTTGAGACTACAAAAGTTTGTAGTGTTGAGCTTTTTCATTAGAAAAGTCTGTAGTGTCCACTTTTTGAGACTACAAAAGTTTGTAGTGTTGCACTTTTTTTTATAGAAAAGTTTGTAGTGTCCGCTTTTTGATACTACAAAAGTTTGTTGTTGACATGTAGTTTATGGTGTCCTTGGCCCTATCTATGTTATGGGGATGATGTTGAAGGATTGCCATCATATTGCCAGTGCTGTAGCATTACTTTTTGACATCATGCACAAGTTGTCTTTCATATTAGGAAAGGCCATTCCTATCTCAAAACATAATTGTAAGCTCATGTGGGGATATGGCTGAAGGATTGACATGACTTTACATATTGCTATTGCCACATCATCAGTTTCTCACATCATGCCCAAGTTGGTTTTCAAGCTAGAGGAGGCTATTCATGTTGATATCTACTCAATACATGGTCAACTTACAACATGGCCTGACTTAAAGATACCTCCAAGGATGAATCAGCCCATCATCCTATGGCCCTCAAAGAGCAGTATCAAAGTTGATGATGTTTGGGACAGGCCAGTAGCTATCAATGTGAAAGCAGACAGTGTGAAAGCCAACTTGGTCATGATGTAAAAAACTGGTGATGTCATGTCAATCCTTCAGCCATATCTCCACATGAACTCATAATTATGTTTTAAGGT